ATATTGATCTTGGGCTTTGTTGAGCTCTCTTGAGGTTGGCCAAATTAGGCCTGAAGATATATACGTATGGGCGTATGGCATATTAATGTATGCCTATCCTAGTGAGCATTTTTTTTTCCACTACGGTCAAAACAGAATTTCATTACCATCAAGCAACAAAATTACAATAGTTTGATTATCCTAGTGAGCAATCTGAGCATTGAGCTTATAAGATATATTTGTACGTGCATCCATAGAGTTCTGGAGCCTTATTGAGTTCAAGAGTACTCTAATGTGTAATTAACTGAAAAACATGCAATAGTACAAGCTTCTGTCCTTATTGAGCTGAGCTTGAGCTTATTCATGCTTCTATAGAGCTGATCTCGGGCTCTCAAGCTTGAACTTGAGGTTGCCCAAGCCTTAGGCTTACTCATACTCAGCTCGTGGAGCTCTGCTACCTAGTTTATTTGTTATTTTAAAATAACTTTCACATATTTGGAAAGAAAGTTGACTGCTTTGTGCCCACCTGATGTGGTACATCACTTGATTAATTTGTTGCATGATTCATACGTGTTGTAGCTTCCTGCTTCCTTTAGGTATACTCAACTTTTTTATGTACATTGCAAATGAGACTAAAGCAGCTGAGAGGTGTATGATTGCATGCCGATTTTGTGGACAAATTTGAACTTACTAGACATTTCGTTGGCTAACTACTGAACATCGCTTGTTTTTCAACTTTCAGGATTTCATGGGAGGATCTCATGACAGCATGGTTACTTTGGAGAACAGAGTACGTGGTCTTGAGAGAGTTGTTGAGGAAATGGCTAGGGAAATATCACTCTCGTCAGGCAGGAGAGGTGGTGGTCCAGCGCTAGGCTTTGATTCATCTCCTGGCAGATCATCTAAATACAATGGTTTCCATGAATATTCTAATTCAAAATTTGGAAGGAGTGGTGATGGACGGATGGGATTTGCAGAAAGGTATTTCTCTGCAGATGGTATGGCTTCTGGTACAAAAAACCCATCTTGGAGACCAGATTCTGAACCATGGGACTCGTATGCTTATTCTGGATCAAGAAGCGGTATGAATGTGAGGAGAGGATTAGATTCTGTTTCATCTGACAATAGGATGGCAAGAAATGAACGGGGTAATGATCAAACGGGTCCTCGGAGAGGTTGGGACAAAGGGCAGGGACCCTTTAGGTTCGGTGAGGGTCCTTCTGCCCGAAGTGCATGGCGGGCCTCAAAAGATGAAGCAACACTGGAAGCTATTAGAGTGGCCGGTGAAGATAATGGAAATTCAAGGGCCGCTGCAAGAGTTGCTATTCCTGAACTGGATGGAGAAGCTTTGAATGATGACAACCAAGGGGATGAAAGAGGCCCACTTTGGGAGGCCTGGACTCGCGCGATGGATGCTGTTCATCTTGATGATATGGACTCTGCTTATGCTGAGGTTCTTTCAACTGGTGATGCTGAATTACTTGTAAAGTTGATGGAGCAAACTGGACCGGTTGTTGATCAACTTTCAAATGAGGTTGCAAATGAAGTCCTACATGCAGTGGGGCAGTTCCTCGTGGAAGAAAGCTTCTATGACGTAGCATTAAACTGGCTTCAGCAGGTAATCCACTATATTCCTTTGCAGGAATGTATTGATGTTATCATTGATGAATTATATCATGAAAATTTGAACTTTCAACCATTATACTCCTCAGAACTGGGCTGAATTAATTAATGATTCACTTTCATCGTAAGACTATGGTGCGGCAATTTAGTGTGCATTTACTTAAGTACTTTTTGTCACTGGTGCTTTGATAGTAAATCCAATTTAGTATTAGGAGAATGGCATGTCTGACAAGTAATTTTTGGGATTCCAGTGATTACCTCCAGTCGATTAGCATTACTGTTAGGACAAAATGTTCAGCATCCTTCAGCCAAAGCACCCGTTTGTGCATATTACATTAACTAGAAGCATGCCCCGCGCGTTGCTGCGGGACTTTCTTAAAAATAAAATCGTTGCATGCATGAGTTAGATCTACATGTTCTTGTATCGATTCTTATCAAATTGGGCATGGCAATAAAAAAATAAAAGAATTAGATCAAACTATAAGATGGTGGAACAACAAAACAAGTAACAATATGTATATTTCTTATGTATTGGTAACAATTACATTTAGTGGAGGTGATGTGGATGGCTTGCATTAGGTTGAAAGTTAGTGGGCTGACTTGCCATTAGCGAGAGATGATGTGGATAGTTAGTGAGAAATGATGTGGATAGCTTGCATGTTAAGATAGAACTTCTAGTGGTGTTTATAAAAACATAAGATATATAGATATAGATAGATTCACACACAAGAATGCAGAAACAGCTGCACAAACATTATTGTTGCGATAAACGCTCCAAACAGTAGAAGTTCAATGACATGGCTGACTAACAAGCTATGAAGAGAAATCATTTTGAACAGTTATGTTTTGAAATAATGGCTCCTTTTTTGAGAGAATGAGAGAGCCAAGCAATGGCAGATAGAACGAATTATTTTGTTGATTTTAGCTGGTGAATTAAAGTATTGAAGCATTAGAGACATATCTTGGTAAAAATTCATTTGGATAGAGCATTGAACTGTTATTGATTGACTTTTTGGTCCTTCTGCCCTCAAACAGAATCCTGGCTTTTCATTTGGTCTAGAATGAAGGCCCATCAGTTTTACTGGATTGCTCAAGGTTGAAGGGGAAACTGTAGTGAAGTATGTGATGGATATTTGATGCTTTCTTTGTCGAACAGATGGGTTCTTATTTGGTGAAACTTGTTTTTATGTTCTCCTTTGTTTGCCCAATGATAGTTATGGTTTCCACCTGGACAGCAGGTATGCGCTTGCATGCTTGTGTAGGTTGAACCAATCTAGCTGTTTCAATTCACAGGTGAAACCAATGCATTACTATAATCTATTTATGCCCTGACATGGTTGATTAAGCTGAATAGATGGTTGTATCTAATCTATAAACATGAAACATTAGAGTATGTTAGACAAATAACAGTTTGCAAAGATAAGCCCTGGCACATATTATTTCCTTTTTTGTACTCAAATGTCTGGCATTGTCTGGTTTTCATTTCTGAGCTGAAAGCTTAACTCTGAACTAGAAATCTCACCAAAAGATATGTCAATGTGTTGCAGTTGACTGATCTGGTAATGGAAAACGGCTCTGATTATCTCGGAATACCTCTAGATGCAAAGCAGGACCTCTTACTGGGACTTCATGATGCTACAGCGATTGAGCTGCCTGATGACTGGGAGGGTGCGACACCCATGCAGATAATGAAGCAGCTAGCTTCATCCTGGCGCATCGACGTGCAGCAACTTATCAATTAGGGTTACATTGATTGTCGACATATGGGTCAATTTCATTTGTTCGTTCCTCTTGTTCTCGTCTGGCCTGTTGCTATTAGTATTAGGGATATTATATTGGGTGGAGTGGAAGTGGCACTGTGTTGAAATGGATTGGTTGTATTGGGAAATATGATGTTGATATTGTCTCACCTTCATTGAAAGTCTTTCATAATTCATAGTTTGATTCTCCAGTTATTATATTGTAAAACCTTCTCACCTCATGGTGCTCTGTGGTTTGATTCTGGTGCATTAGTTAGTACATAGAATTCAAAATGAGTAGCAATATATTGTTTATTGGCTAAAATATTGTCTCCAGCAACACTTGTATGCAGAAGGCAGATCTTACGCATTTGGATATTTTGCCCATATGACGAAGGCCTTAGCGCTGAACTGATTTTGAGGCCAGTATCTCCGCGAGCATCAACTCTTTCTGTAGAGGTATGTATGCAGCCAGTTGTGAAATCCATGGGGCAGGTGAATTTGTTTCAGAGCATTGTTATGCATATTGTATGTTAGTGTTGGGAGCTAAGGGCCTACCATTGACCATTGTGGTTCATGAGTCACGACCGCATGTCGTGGACTCTGATGTTGGGGCGTTGTATGTCCTATTCGAGGCTCGCAAGACTGTCTTCAACAACCGTTATCTAAAATACAAGACCTATTTCACGTTTAGGTAGCGCTATATATAAAAGATTCAATACATATTTTTGTCTTCTTCAATAACAAGACCCAAAAGAGAACCATTTCTATAAATGTATCTTCAAGAGAGAATACTCAAATTTGGGTTATACCTTTCCTGACACTCAAAATAGGTCTTTCATATAAGTACTCCGTTGGAGGCTATAGATATTCTGTTAGAGATCCATTTTGAGTTTGGGTCTCCTGATAGGTCTCCTGTTGGAGACAGCCTAAAGCAATGTTTTTGGCAAGGTTTGCAGCGGTGCGGTTCCATTCCGGCGGAGTGTGTGTGTGAGCGCGTGCCAGCAATTTTGTGTTAAAACCAGATCCACAGATACATGTTTCATCAAAACCTTTTTTTGGTGTGCAAAACTAAAGAAAAGTTTGCTTCCAGTGAAAAACAGAGTCTTTTTCGTTTTAATTTACAAAAACTGACCCGACATTCTAAGTTATTTTGGGACCTATATAGACAGGTGAGGTGAACCGTGAACATCTTAGTTGGAATCAAGGTACTGAGCTCCACACGTCCAAAGTTCTTTTTTTAAGTAAAGGCAGGAGCTCTACCGCTTAATTAAGAAGTAAAAGGGGTCTATGTACAAGAGCATCCATGGTGCCAAACACATCGGTCATAGCACCAAACACAATTAGCCATTGCTCACACACACTTGTTGTTTTACCTCGCAATACACGTAGCCCTATGCCTTTGAACAATATGGCCAATGAGGCGACTTGTGCCGACGTTTTCCACACGTCCAAAGTCAGCAGGCGCTCTTGCTTGGAGAAGCCATGTCTCTGCTCTCGAGCTCGATGGGTAGCCCGTTCAGCGGCGACGGCATGGGGTCCCTGACGAATGTGTTGTCCTTGTCCTGGCAGTAGAGCCTCCACCTAAAACGCCTTCGGCAGGTGGTGCATGGTCACCAGCGTCTCCACCCTGGCGAACTCGATCCCAGCGCACAGCCTCTACCCGCCGCCGAACGCCACGAACGAGTAGGGTGGCGCCTGGCTCTCGAACCGGGATGGCTTGAACTTGTCGAGGTCCAGAATATCTTTGGGGTCCATATGCGTCCACGCTGGACGCCTGTAACACCGCCACCCCTTGGGGATGCATGAGCCGTCGAACTCGATGTCCTCGGTAGCTTCATGGGAAAGCTGCCGAAGATGGGAGGGATCGTCCGCAGAGTCTCCAGGGCCACGCGCCATGTGAACCTCATGCCGTGCTGTCTATGTGTATTGGAGGTGGGAGACGAAGCTGACGAATGAGGCCCACCTAAGCAGTAACAGGAGCTGCAGGACCTGGCTATCGGAGAGGGAGAGAGTCAGAGAGAGGAGCATGGCAGGGGCAGGAAGGACTTTTGACATGCCTTGGATGACTGGGCGCCAACGTGTGGCGTGGCGTGCCACATACGCAAAGATGGTAAATCTGATGTTAAAACTTCTCTCATCTGATAAATTTGTGTCTTTCTACGGCTAATATTTGGACGAGCGACGATCGTTATAATGGTAAAAATATAAATTTCCCCCGGTAAGGCAGGGGGCACAAACAATCCGAGGTTATCATCGGAGTTTCTTGCGTCCCCGGCCGAATCGGCAAGCGAGGGCGCCGCAGACTTACCTGTCATGCTCCTTGCCATTCGCCAACCTTTGCTATTGCTCCCGTGGGGATAGATACAGCCTGATCAGTTGTGCTACATGAAGCGCCGCCGTCTGCGACTGCAGCTACCGGCAGCGCTCGTCTAGTCGTCTCCGTGTCCAACGATTAGCGGTGTTGTAAAAAAAACGATTAGCGGCGCTAGGCGAGGGATGACAGCCGTCTCCAAACCCTAGACTACTGGACTCACTCGCGGGATGCAATGCAACCGGATAAGAGGCGTAGCCGATGGGCTACGCTGGGCTGCTGCAGATGCTTAGGCCGCAGTCCTAGCAGCTGGGCTGTACAGCTGTAGGCCAAACAGCCGAAAAGGCTGAAGCGAGCAGGCCCATAAGATATATGAAAATACAGTTCTTAATATATCTAAAAAAATGTATCTAGTAAACCTCATTTCATAGTGTAAATATTATTGTTCTTTTCTATAAATTTGGTGGGTGGTTTGACTTAATCAACTAAAACTATCTTTTCTTTTAGGATGAAGGAAGTACATGACTCTTGACTCACCTCATGTAGAAATGTAGTTAATGTTAAGCTCTTATTACCTAAGATATGTAAAGCTAACATATTCTACCTTTTAAGGTAATCACGCAAGTGTATAGTTTCACAAATCGGCAATAATATATGGTGCAATGTAATTTGTTCTTTATAACAGTTTCTCTCTAGAATTTTCACACCCTAAATAAGCTATTTAATGCTAAATCATGTAACTATTTCACAATAAAATCACCTAATACATTTAGTACTTCGGTTTCAGAAGTTCAGTTTGTTCAAAAAAAACTTTTTTTTTACTTGGCACTACCTCCCTTCCAAATTATAAGTCATTCCAATAATTTTAGAGAGTCAAAGTATCTCAAGTTTGACCAAAATTATATAAAGAAATACAAATATTTATGACATCAAATAGATATATTATGAAAATATATTTAATGAAGAATCTAATGATACTTATTATTTGGTATCATAAATGTTATTATCTTATTATATAAATTTGGTCAAACATGGGATGTTTTTTACTCTCCAAGATTTTTAGAATAACTTCTAATTTGAGACGGATGGAGTACTATTAAGATTATGGATGAAAACGGTACGGATATTTATTCGACCGTCCGTTCGACCGAACAAATATGAACACTTATCTGGATAGTTACTCGGATATCCGGGTTTTTTTTCGGAAACGGATACTAAAACGGATATCTTAGGCGGATATCAAATACGGATGTAATATCATCGATATCCGGCGGATATCGGATAATCCGGATAAGTATCGGATATATCCGGATATTTAAAAACGGATATTATCCGGATATTTATTCAAAATTTAAAAATCATAAATTTGAACCATCCAAACTATCTCAAATGGAAAGTTGACCAAAACAACAATTGTAGATCTTGATGAGTTGAACAAACTTGGTATTCAAAACTTTTCAATTTGAAGTCATTTAGAGTTCATAATACTAGAGTCAAAGTGTTGTTTTTCATTTGACCAAATTTGACTTGGTCAAACTTGCTCAAATGAGACACTAAATGACCTCAGATGAAAAAACTCTGAATACCAAGTTTGATCATCTCAGCAAGATCTACAATTGTTACATAGCTCATTTTCCCATTTGAGAAAGTTTTATCAAACACTAGTCATAAATTCTTGAATCTCATATAGACTTTCTGAAACTATGTCACACACTTGTGAAATTTGAACTATATTTTGTTCAAACTTTCTCAAATGAAAAATGGCCTATATAAGGATTGTATATCTTGATGAGATGAACAAATTTGGTATTCAAAACTTTTCAATTTGAGACAATCTAGGGTTAGAAAACTAGTTTGTAAGCATCGAAATTTAAAATCACAAATTTGAACCGTCAAAACTATCTCAAATGGAAAGTTGACCAAAACAAGAATTGTAGATCTTGATGAGTTGAACAAACTTGGTATTCAAAACTTTTCAATTTGAAGTCATTTAGAGTTCATAATACTAGAGTCAAAGTGTTGTTTTTTCATTTGACCAAATTTGACTTGGTCAAACTTGCTCAAATGAGACACTAAATGACCTCAGATGAAAAAACTCTGAATACCAAGTTTGATCATCTCAGCAAGATATACAATTGTTACATAGCTCATTTTCCCATTTGAGAAAGTTTTATCAAACACTAGTCACAAATTCTTGAATCTCATACAGACTTTCTGAAACTATGTCACACACTTGTGAAATTTGAACTACATTTTGTTCAAACTTTCTTAAATGAAAAATAGCCTATATAAGGATTTTAGATCTTGATGAGCTGAACAAACTTGGTATTCAAAACTTTTCAATTTGAGACAATCTAGGGTTTCGAAAACTAGTTTGTAAGCATCGAAATTTAAAAATCACAAATTTGAACCATCCAAACTATCTCAAATGGAAAGTTGACCAAAACAACAATTGTAGATCTTGATGAGTTGAACAAACTTGGTATTCAAAACTTTTCAATTTGAAGTCATTTAGAGTTCATAATACTAGAGTCAAAGTGTTGTTTTTTCATTTCAAATTTGACTTGGTCAAACTTGCTCAAATGAGACACTAAATGACCTCAGATGAAAAAACTCTGAATACCAAGTTTGATCATCTCAGCAAGATATACAATTGTTACATAGCTCATTTTCCCATTTGAGAAAGTTTGATCAAATACTAGTCACAAATTCTTAAATCTCATACAGACTTTCTAAAACTATGTCACACACTTGTGAAATCTGAACTATATTTTGTTCAAACTTTCTCAAAATGAAAAAAATGGCCTATATAAGGATTGCAGATCTTGAATCCATGACCATGACTCCATGAGACCCATGAAGCAATGTGCTTGGCTATTTCTACTCATGCCGCGAAGATTGGTGCTTATATGATGTTTGATGTATGATGTATCTGTATCTTTATCTTATTTGTTGCTTTACTCTTTAGTCTTTTGGCTTAATCTAGATGGATTATGGACTCATAGAGTGATGTAATGGTTTACGCACGTATGATATATATATATATATATATATATATATATATATATATATATATATATATATATATATATATATATATATATATATATATATTTTTACTCAATATCCGAATAGATATTTGTATCCAACCTTCTCCGAATCCGATTCATACCGTATTCGATACTCATTATTCGTATCCGTAACCGAGTCAATCCGTATTCGTATATGTATCCGAACGCTATCCGTGTCCGAATCCGAATCCGAACAGAAATATGAAAACAAATATAATATGAGTGATATCCGTTCGTATCCGATCCATTTTCATCCCTAATTAAGATGTTTCAAAGCAAATAGAAGGCGTTGCCAGGATCCTATTTGTACTACTATAGACGTTGCCTACAGATGTAAAAAATGATATCCTCTAAACACATTTTACAGGACAGCGGATCAAGAGGTGAACTTGTTTAATCGGCTTGGCACTGCCATATGGTTTACTTCCTCTGTCATGTTCGTTTGAACTTATCAGCTAAGCTTATTAGTCATGGTCAGTGTTTTTCTCTCACGATAAAACAGTATCAGCCGGCTTATCAGCTGCAGAAATCATCAGCCAAACAGTCCGAGTTTGCCGTGATAGTGTAGCGATGTTGAGCTTTGTAAGGTGCCTCTTGATTTGCAAGCCATGCATGCCAGATGGTAATTCTGAAATTGCAAAGTGAATTTGCTACTGCATGTAAAAGGGATGCTGTTGAATTGTATTTTATCTCAACTGTAGATAACGTGTCTGCTAGTCGTACACGTATACTTCTACTATTTTATTTACAGTTACGACATGCCACAACTGCGGCTGTTTTCTGGTTGGGGCGTATTATACGGGTCGGCCCTTCACCTTTTTAGGTTGCCCAATTTTATTTTAGCGATCGTTCGTTGAAGAGAAAAACCAACAAAGGGAACGACCGAGAGCTAAAAAAAAGCAAAGGGAACGACCGCCCAATTTCTGTTTTTTTTAAAGATTCATTTCTATAAATTTTTATTTTTATTAAAAAGGTTACAAAGTTATACACTTATAATCACATTTTTTGTGTGAACATTTTGCGGAACCGAGTTATTACCATAATTTTTTATCGTAACTTTTTTCAATACATTTCTTGACATAATTTTATAAACAATTTATCACCATAACTTTTGATCCTGACATTTTTAATACAATTTCTGACATAGACAATCTTATCACAATAACTTTTTATCATGACGCTTTTTAAATCAAAAGAGAGAGCTTTATATATTAACCTATGTTGATGACAACTTTTCAGCATGATCTCTATGTATTAACCAACAAATTCCATTCTGACAATGGTTCGAATCCCCACGTCCTTGCAATTTTCACTTATTTTTCTCTTTTTTTTCTTTCTTTTCCTCTCTTAAAATTTTTCATGTCAATTGACAATTTTTTCTTCTATACGCTATGAACATTTTTTAGGTTCAGAAGTTTATCTAAAATAAATTATGTTGGACAACAAAAATACATGTATAAGCATATTACTCGTAAAATTTATTTATATAAATTTATGTTCAAAAATTATATTAA